CTGTTGCGTGGCCCAAACCGAATTTGTTTCCCTTTCGTTTCATTTCGTTCAATTTGCGCCCATAGGTCGGAAATGATTTCGAGTGTGCACTTCATTAACAATCAGCATCATAATGAGGAGGCAGAATAAGGATATGTGCGTGCTTATCGACTAATACGTGCGTCGGATTTTGCCTCTTTTATTCCTGTTTTTTCTCCACTGCATATCTGTATTTTGTTCATTATTAAATTTCAGTGTTCCCGCTTTTCGAAACTGACGTTTGTTTTGCCCTCGGCGCGCATATGAAGTGTGTCGAACATTTAATTGAATGGATTTGCGTGTTTTATTGTTTTTAACTTTTTTGTTCGAACTAAAATTAGTTTTTAAACTAATTGGAAAATACTCTTACGGTTTTGGCAGTTGGAATTGGTTAAAAAACTTTACAAAAAGCAGATTATCCCATGCTGAAAATGGCACAACACAAGCCAGATTTAATCTTTTTATCATTGGCTTGAATATAAATAAATATTAATAAACTTTGAATAGCTTTAAATATATTTTCAGTATTTTTCAATTTAGTTAAAATTGCTCTTAATGCTGTTTTCAATCTTCAATTTAACGAGTTGTTGCTAAAACCGAATCTTCGGAAAACTAGAGCACATTTCACTTATCCTTCACTTTACACGGAATATCAACTTGTCGACTTGTCTCGCTGTATCTTGTACGCAAAAAAAAAGAAGAAGTAGGAAATATTTGTTTATCATCTAACTATGTTAGGCTACATGGCTGCATTTCCTGCCCTCCACTCCGCTCCACTTCATCCTACTCAACTCCAAATACGACCTCGAGCGAATTTGAAACCGAAAATGGCGAAATATGTATACGAATCCTTGGCTCGCCTGAGGCGTGTTGTTTTTCTGTCCTGGCTTTGATTTTGATTTATGTTGCAGTAAACACAGCCAGCCGAAAGGAGGAGAAATGGCAAAGGCAACGGCAACCTCATTTGCTACTTACTTTGTCGCATCATTTCACCATAGACGACACTCCCTTCGAGCTCCACCAAACCCATGACCCCTGACCCCTTGAAACCAACAGACCCACAGAACCTCAGTAAGACAACGCATGCCGACGCACGGAAGTTTTGATTTTTTCCCTCTGGTTTTGCCTGTTGTTCCGCAGGATTCTCTCAGGCGACAGGAAAAATGTTTTCCATCCCTCGAATGCTCCTCCTATAATTGTGGTGTTGGACAACGGTGCTGCTGGTGGTGCAAAAAACCAACATTAAATGCAGTCCTTGTTCTGGGTTTCAGCTGATTTTATTGTTTTTAATGCTAATGCTCCAAGAAAGTATAAACCATAATAAATACAATTTGTAAGTAAATTTATTTGTTTGCTGTAGACTTTATTTTTTCTATATACTCTTATTTGGTGGTTTCTAGAACGTTTAGGAATGAGTAATTTTGGCAGTCGTATTTCAAGTGTTTACGCTTTATAAAATGCAACATTTTCGGCGATGGCTGCATTAGAATTCAGCCTGGCAGTTGGCAAGGCGACAAACTTGCTTTTAGCCCGACTCGAAGCTTTGGGCAATAAGACGCGTAACGCTTTGTTTGACTTGAATTTATGGTGATGTTTCTTTTTGCTTCACTACTTTTTTTTGGCAAGCTCCCAGCTGAATCATGGCAAAGTGTCTGGTTTGTCTGGCTCTCGTTCCCGAAATGTTTTAATTCCTTTGGCTCGACACAATAATTTACACATTCTTGCCGGCTGCTCGGCCATAAAATCCTTGTTTGACTTGCACTCCAACCAATAATTATGTTTGCATTTTTTATGTAGTTAGCGGCATCCACTATTAAAATTTATATGACAATTCGTTAGTTTGTTGCTCTGTCATAATAATTCATTGCGTTTATTTTATTGCTCGGCGGTGGGTCTCTTGTCACCGAACGGAATTCCATTGCAGGTTTATTTATTTTCTGGTTTTTTGCTTTTATTTTTTTAACATATGTCCATCAAAGTTGATTGGAGACTTTTTTGGCTGCTGCTGCTGATTATGTTGTTAGTCAGCCGCAAAGCACGTACTAAAATTTTGTATCCCACTGTGAGTTCTTTTTATGATTTATCAATATTTCCAGATCATAACTTCTCGTTTTTATATTTTAGTTATTTTTACGAAGCCAAACAAAGCCATAGAAACTGTCTGCTGTATTTATAGTGATTGGTTAGACAGCTTTACTATTCTATATTTCCAATTTTGATCAAGTGAACTGTCTTATTTATGGCTTATTATTTTCAATGAGACCTATGCAAATAAAATATAACGTTCCTTAAAAATTCCATTTAATTTGCCACAAAAACATTTCATTCTTTTTATCTTTTTATCTCAAGGCAAAATCCAGCTTAAAATGCAAGATACATTTCCACGAGCTAATTGAGTTTAAAAAGAAGAAACAAAAACAAATAGAACTCCTGAACGACAGGCAGCTTGAGAGCTTTATTTCTAAAATTTGAGAAACACAAATCATACAACTAAAAACCACCGAAGAATAACCATAACCAACAGCTTGAAAAAGAAAATGTGGGTAAATCCAAAGAGAATTTTCCATTAACGCACGTGTGCCAGTGTCGAAGAGCAGAACCTGTTCAGCTTGCCACATTGCAACAAAAAGAATTTGAAGCTCGGTTTGGGAATCTCGGTCCAAGTTGGTATGAGGGTTGCGTTTTGGGGAGCAAAGCCAGAATCGCAAACTGACTGACAAAACCTCAACGTGCCACTAAAAGCATAATCATGCACTTAACTAAAGCCCAGCCAAAGGATGTTGTAACTTTGCGGGGGATGCAGGATGATTCGGGTGCCGAGGTAACGCACGTAGAACTTAAGTCATCATCATATAAATAAAAATTTATGACTTTAAATGTGTTTGTGCGTGAGTTGTTTGTTTGTGTGTCCTGTGGTTGCCGGAGTGCGGTGGAAGCCCCAAGTCATGGTTTATCGCCGGTGCCGAGTTGCCAACTTCGGTGGGCGATGACTACATGCGTGACTTTATTTGCACTTGCAGCTGCTGAAAGGGTGGCTTCAATGTGCTGCGATAGCCGTTTAAAGTCTTTTTCTTTTTCAAGAAATACACGGGGCATGCGAAACTTCAAATGATTAGCTTTTACACTTTTCCCAAAATAATTTTAGTAAAATCATGTTTCACATTTTTAATGTGACGAAATATTAATATAAAATGCTGAAAGGTATATTTAGCAATATATTGGCAGCTTCCCAAAAAGACTATACAAATCTTAAGTTGCTTTATCAAAAATATTATATATAGAATTATAAAGAAATAACTTAATATTCTGAATGAAATGCCTTCCCAAAATAGAGCATCCTTTGCATTTGTGTCCTGGTTGGATGACCTCTCAAGTGTTGCTAATCACACATAATATTCATGGCAAACATCTTGAAGGCTGCCAGTTTCTTCACAATTACGACAACAGGCAGCTTTTACTTTCAGCTACTTAGACGTATCCCCAAATGTAAATTTCAGTTCCATGAGGGCTTGTTAATGCAGCAAACTAACAACAGAAAGCCGCTTGCCCGGCTACTTTTCAAGTTAAAGTTATTATCCTGGGGCAGAGCCACTTGCAGGACTCGGCCCCGCCCTCGTGCCAGACTTGACAAAACTCGGCAGACTTTTGAATAAATTTTCAATCTCCAGGACAACGAGGCGCAAGGATAAGGGGGCGGTGGGAAAATCAGCATTATGAATATGTAGCTACATCTTCTTAAATGTATCTGTCTGTTGTTCGTGTTGTTGGCTAAGTGAAAAGCCAAAGCCGAGTTGCGCCTGCAACATTTTTAAAAGCCGCTTTACTTTCCCTCTAAGATGGCAACTTTATTAAATTCTTTTTTTCTTATTTTTTTTTTTTTTTGGTGGGCCAGTAAAAACTTTCTTAGCTGCAGCCAACAGGGGAAAAAAGAACTATCCAAAATGGAATGGAAAGTTCTCTGGCTTTCGTCTTCTTGCACTTCTTGTTCGTCTTGACGATGGCTGTTAAATGCTTTTAGCCGCTTTTTGTTGGCAACTTTGGCCAGAAGTTACGCTCGAAATGGTAAACGATTTTCGTACTTCGCCGAAATATGATTTAATTTAAGTTAATTTCGGGAAAGGGAATGTGAAATAATTAAGCCACTAAACAGCTGATAACAAATCCCCAATTAAACCGAAGACAATTAATTTGAATGCCTCTAAGACAGAGAATTGTCTTCGGGCCGATAAAATGCGGCCAAGAACGAAGTGCGACCATTTATCTTTGCGGTCAACCGCCATTAACGTTTATTACACCCACCAAGTGCCAGCAAAACCAAAGAGCACATGCACAAAAATAAACCCAAACCAAATGGAAAACCCGGGCAAAAACAGCAACGGGCGAAAAAATATAATTAAAAATAAACATTACGCGGCGACAGACAATGGGAGGAAAAACCAAGGAAAATTCACAATCCAAAAGGACGGCAAACAAAAAAAAAAAGCGAAGAAATGTGTAATAAAATGAAAGCAGGAGCCAGGTGAAAATTGCATTAGTCCGAAGGCGAGAGATAAAGACAAAGGATCGAGGGACTTTGTGCAGCAGCATTTTAGGCGCTTAATTGAGCGTTTTAGTTATGCTAATTGTTTGGCAGCAGAAAGGACAACAAACACAGGCTAATGTCCTGGCGCGAGATGTCCTCTCGGGTCCCCAATTTCAGCTCCCATTTATTGTTGACCATTTGTTATAAGTGGAGAGCCATTAAGTGACTGTTTTTGGTGGGTGTTCCTGGAATTTTTTCGCCAAGAGAAACTGGCAAATGTGGAACCATTTATTATGTTATTGTGCGGAAAAGAGAGATGATGGAGGTTTGGGGAAAACTCATATTAAGGTAGCAATTAAGTGGTGATTCGGGATACAAACAATTTGTTTCTTCTGTAATTATGTGGAAGATTAGCCAAAATTTGTAAAGAAAAATATCTTGAAATAAAACTGCATGAGTATTTTGTCTCGCTTTTGTTTTTATTTTGATTATCTACCGTAAATTCTTATATCATACAATTTTCATCTTTTTGGTTTCCGTTTCATTTATATAATATATACAAGTACAATACATATATACTTTTACATATATAGGCAATATTTAGACTTAAGATCTAATTGCTTACTTTTGCCTTACACTTTTCGTCTTAGGGGGATTTCTTTGGGGGCAAATACAATTAGGCGTAGTATGTTTATATATATCTTTTGTTTTTATATAGAACATATACATATATATAAATATCTTTTTACGATTTATAAATAATCTTGACTTCGATATATAAATATAAATGTATAGAGAACCTAAAACTAAAAGCTTAGCACAACATTTTTCATTTGCTTTGTGAAATGAATTTTTGAGATGGCCAAGGGGCTTCGAAATTTAATAAAATATCCCATCAAAAAGTTTGACATTTAAAGGTATTGAAAACTGGAATTTACGACAGTTTATACCCTCTGACCACCTCCACCTTAGGAAAAATTGAACAAATAGATATCGCTGCATTTATGATGAACTAGCAATTTGCTTGTATTTCGCTTATCTTGTTACATTGTCTTTGTATGTTTTGTAATCATTCCTTAAATGCATTTGAAGTTACTTTGAGCTAGCTGAAACGAGTGTCTGGTGTGTTAGTGTAAATATTTTAGATACATCCTGCAGTTGCTTCTGGGTCTTGGCCTTGGGCTGAACTCTCCCGCACATCATCTAACTATATAGCTGGACTCCACTTTAAATTCTACCCCTGAAGTGTGGCACTGGAGTTGCGTGACAATTGAATCATGTTAATTGCCTGATGCATCTGCTGCTGCTCTTGCTGCTGTTGCTGCTGTTGCTGCTGATGCCGTTTTCACATTCGGATCGACATCCGCATTCGCATCCGCATCCGCATCCGCGTCCTTTCCAGCTAAAATTCGACACCCGCAGGCAGGACTTGCGATGCTCGAGCTGCCTTTGCTTTTGCTTTTGCATTTGCTTTGTTGCGATGACCCGCATTCCGAAGGGGCTTGTCCGCCGGATTGTGCACCTTCCGCTCGTGTTGCACGCTGCACCGCCGGCCTTTGTCGTCACCGCCTGCAACGGCGACACTAATTGCCTGGCCAGCGTCCAACTGAGCACCGCCAGCAGCGATCCACCGAACGCCGCCCAGGATTGACTCGCACTTGGACGGCAACTGGACGAGCCGGCGCCTCGCCAGGCGGCTCCACCGTCCTCCATGCCGCCCTCGGATCCATCCTCTTCTCCGCCTGAGGATACAAAAGGAAAAAGAAATTCTAGCGAGAAATAGAAAGAAACGCAGACAGAAATGCAGGCCATGTATTCGATGTATTCTGGTGGTTCCTCCATCCAACTACAGGCGAACTTGTGTAACCCGAAACATCTATTCGATGTACTCCGTTGCTACGCTTTTTGTTAGTAAGAGGGAACTAGTGTTACCCTAACTACCTTTATCTCCAAAGCCAACCGCATGTAAGACGAAAATTCTAGCCAAAGAAAAAAGTTGACTTACTTTAGACCACCAAAATGTAAAGCTGAATGAAATGCTAGTAAGAGTTTCGTTAAATAAAAATAAAATATTTAAAAGTAGAATAAGGAACCGAATTACAGGTACACTTGAAGAGAAACATTATGCAAAATAATTAAAATGTATTGAAATACAGTTGGTAAAATTTCAGGCAATTTTTTGTTTGAATTGTATAAAGGAGTTTATGTTACTTAAGTTCGACTGTACTTAGATCCGGGAATCTTTTCGGTAGTGCTGGTGTACTGTGAGTCTTGTGTTTAAGGCCATAATTTGGCTGCTAAACTCACCCTGAATCTGCGTCAGGTAGCTGTTCTTCTTGTTGTGGAAGTGGTCCTCGTGCAGTGCATACTGGTCATAGAAATCATCGGGATTAACATGATTCCCGTTGGCCACACTTCCGTGTTTGGGATACAAATCCGCTTCAAGGACGATCTTCTCGGTGGTCTTCCAATAGACATCGTGCAGTTGGGCGCTGCAGCGTAGCTGTTGAATAAAGTATTAAAACCAAAAGGTTATTTTTCTCCAGAGGGCAAATAATTAAACTCACCTTGAGCTTTCCATTGTCGAAATGCTGATCGGTAACCACAAAGTGAATTCCTACAATGGCGGTTTCCATGTCGTTTCGGGCATCTCGAAGAATTTTATGATGTCGCACGAGGGCGGGATTAACCTGAATAATAAGGAATTGATTATTAAATAAGGGGGGAAAAGTGTGATAGTAAGCTTTTTGGGTCAGGAGCCTAAAGATTTTCTTGTTTCCTCTGTTCATCTTGCAAGGAATTTGTATTAATTTTATATCATATAGAAATTATTACTGGTTAGTCAGTTTCCACATTTTATCAAAGCACTATGGAAACCCTCAATACGTCATCTAAGAATAGAAACGGATATTTGGCACTTAAAACCCATTGTCATTGACGTGCTTTGCCTCTTAAAACTGTGACTTTGATTGACAGCCACGCAAAATTAGTTTGGCCCGTGCCCAGTTTTCACCTTAAATGCATCCAGCAATTGGAGATATTTCTTTTTGTGAAAAACTTTAGCGGGTTGAACTTGTTTCGCGTTTATTTAGTTGGTTTGTTGCCTGGTTTTGGCGGTATGTCTTTGTTGGCTTATTGTTTAAGCGCATTTTGTGGCCAGTGCGATGGGAAACAGTGGGGGCTTCGCACATCCAATCAACCGAGCGTGGCCAACTCAACTCAATTCGACAACCAGTTCAGCGGCATTCGCTTTTCCATTCAGCCATCACCCCATTGTGGTCTGTGTAGGTGTGGGGCTTAAAGTGTGTGTGTGCGCTGCATGTGTGCGTGGGTGTACGTGTTAGCCTTGTTTTTCCACCGCCTGTTACCCATTTTCCCCGATTCCTCTGTGGCTCCTATTATGCAGCATCAATAAGCATTGTTTGCCATTGAGTGATGCTGAAACTGCCGCTGTCTCTCTCTCTCTCAGCGGAATTCTCCATCTATCTCCCTCTCGCTTTTCCGATTGTTCAGGATATGTAAGCTAATTATTAAGGCTTTATTATTCCATTTTCCACATGCTTTCTCCTCGTTTTGTTTCGAACGGAAGGCCCAAATTATGTTTGGAGTCTGAAAATTTCCCTTAGTCATTTGAAAAGCTTGAACAAATCATGAATTTTAGGCTTTAAGAATTCCTTTTGTTTAACAGAAAACTCTTAACATCGTGTTGTACTCATAACAATTAAAATGTTTAATCAGTTACACAGTTGACAGCTTCGCATTTGGTTTATAATTATGTTATACCTCAACCAAGCATATGTTTTCCCCTCTTGCTGCAGTTCAACCGCTGTTCATCAATTACACATTTCCAAATGCATCAGCTGCCATGGAAAATAATGTGTACGCTTTTCATATTTTTTCTACCCCATTTCACGACCGTTGTTCTCCCGGAAAATCTGAACAATTGGTCTGTAATTGAGTAGGCGTAGTCGCCAAAAAGTGGCAAAAATAATTGTGATATGTAATATGCAAATCGTTGAAAATTTTCCCCGACTCTGGAGGGCTTTCAGCTGCCTCTTAGTTATGTACATTTCCCAGACCCATTTCCATGTTCCCCAATTGTCCGGATATGGATATGGTTGTCGGGAAAAAATATTACACCTAAAATTGGCGGCGCTTCCAAAGTGGGCGGCATAATTTTGGGATTGTGCATGGGGGCGTGTCACCATTGCGTTGATCTCCACGAATGCGTGTGTTTTTCTGGTAATTACAGGGGGACCTTAGCCCCCCAGACCCCTTAGCCCCAAAAAGCAGGCGCATAAATTCGCGGCAGATGCCAACGCTTGAAAACAAGAAAATTGTGTTTGCATAATTTCGGGCGCATCGGGGAGGTTTTTGTATGGGCGGGGGGGGTGGTTAGTGGGTTAAGAGGGGAGGCGGGGGTAGGTTTTCCGCTCAACAGGGGGACGGCACTCACCTCTTCATTATTCACTGTCCATGTGAGATTGGCCGCCGGCCGCGAGTGTCGCGATGTGCAATTACCTCGCAATATGTCGCCGACCCGATATCGGGGACGTATGCCCGTTATGAATGGCGCATTGTGCGGCGTTTCTGCAAGTGAGAGAGAAAAAATCATCAGAAATCGAGGAAAAAGAGGAATGGCATCAGTTCACTGGTAAACCGGATCGATTGTCACTATATTTTTGATACTCTGCGGCATTCGGAAAACCAGAATTCGGACCGAACTTCTGACCCAACCTGTCGTCCTGTCAATTGGGATTGCCAAGTGGGTGTGGGCAATGTCAGTTGTGGGTGTATGTGTGTGAGTGTATGTACGTGTGTGAGCGTATATGAGCGTGTGTGCTGCAATCAATATCGTGTGAGTGTGTGTATCGAGGTCCATTTCATAATTGAAATAATTACGAGTTCTCTAGGTCTGGAGGGTTGGAATTTAAATTTGGTGCTGCGAAGAGAACTAACACTAAAGAAAATAAATCAGACTTTGGACTAATCGCTTAGCTTTTCAAAGCTAACATCTGTTTAACATTTTAGCCTGAACGCTTTTTTTATAATAATATATTAACCTTTTTAGTCATTAAAAAATTTTGTTTAACTACTTAAATTACTTCCCTTGGGATTTAGTTAAGAAAAAACGTTTTAAGGAAGTGATTTCTCTTCTTTTTAAAATATTCTTTTAATTAAGAAAACCATTCAATTTTTGTTTGAGGAATTTATTAAATTATCGGATAACTTTTTCCAAGTGCAGCACTCTCAGGCACATTTTCCAAAAAACTAATTTGCTCGTGCTGTCCATTATCCTTAAAAGTCAGAATGGCAACCGGCAGAGACACATCCGCATACATGTGACACATAAACATGAAATAGACACTTTCAAAAGTTTGTCAAGCCAATTTGAGCTCACCTACGTCAACATATCCGACCCACACAACCCACACAGTCAGTTCGGCAGTTTATTGACCGTCTCCGTCTCCATTGGCATTGGCAGAATGTTTGCTCTCAAGACCTTTGTTTGCCGGCTTAAATGTCTTCATCTTTATCTCGTTTACCCTCAAATTTGTTTGTATTTTGTCTGCTTAACTGCCAAAACATTCGAGCTATGAGTTTATTTTTAAGTTTTATGTCCGCCAACATCTACACACAAGTATTTCGAGACTTTCGAGACTGGAAGGACTTGGCCCGGCCAATTGAATGCGACAGTTGGTCAAGTTGGCAAGTTTCACTCTGTCTTTGACTCCGCCTCGGGTAAGCTTAACTTTTTTGGCTTCTTTCGGCCGAGAAATACTCGAACTGGAAATTAATTTTGTTTCTCGGTCACATTTTCAAAGATCTGAATTGGTTTACTATTTTCAATCAGAACCTAAAGTAGCTCAATTTGTTTGCTGGTCTGCAAAAACTAGTAAATGAAATCCAATGGATTTAAAACCCCTTTCGAAAGTGTAATCGGATATGCTTCGTAACTTATTTTTACGCGACTGCATTTTTTACTTACCAATAACTTCCAATTCTGCTGCCGCTATTAATGTATGAAATGAGGGCGCATCCGCCGATACTTCGCAACTGTATTTACCGGATGTAGCCATTGTTACCGCGTCGAGGACCACTTGGCTCTCGTTCGAGGACACGCGCTGCAAAAAAGTTAACAAAAACACAGGTGCTGAGTGGGGGCCGAAATAAAATGTATTTTTTAACTGCCCAAAGCTCACAGATTCGCATATTTATTTATACACATCCTTCTTGTTGGCCCGATGGAAATTTTCAACAAACGTATCTCATTGGATTACTTCCGGCTTCCATATATATTCTTTTTACACATATTTAATGGGGATTTCAATAATTGAGATGGAAGTGTGTATACGGGTTTTTATGCTTAATCCTTATTTTTTAAACGTATAATCATTTTAAACCTAAAGGAAAATCAGTAACAAGAGCGGAGTTAATTTATTAAATAAAATTTGCTTCTAGGCCCAAGTAATATCACAAAAGATTTCCTTTTCATAAATAAATCTCTATAATCAGCAAATAGTTCCTTAAAAGCTATAAATCTTTGTTGGATTTGCAGAATTTATTTTTTAGATGGAGTGAATATTGGTACACACACATCAAAAATATTTTCTTTCACAATCTTTTAAACCCGTTTTTAATGTTTATATAACATTCTCAACTGTATATTTGTATATAGTATTTCCATTCTTTTTGTATTTTTCTTCCCTATTGGATGCAAACAATTCTATTCTGCCGTTATTTCCACCATATTCAATATAGAGCAGCTCTTCAAATGAAAAGAATGCTGTTTTCTCGTATTTTTTGTCACATGAGTTGGAAACAGAAATTTGAATGAAAAATACGACGCATACACACACACAAAAGCAGTGAGCAAATAAATAAAATGCCAACGTGTTTCTTTATACGCCTGAATAATTTTCAAACCAATTTAAAAATGCCAATATTTATTGAAAAATATTCCCGTCCACCCCGAACGCATTTCGAAACTGAAAAACTACGAGTAAAAAACAAAACTCAACAGGACCCGAAAGGGAATCTAAAAGTTCAGCTGCCCACGTGTGCCTGCATGTGGGCTTCTGTTTTTCCGGCTTCTAACTGCCATGAAGCGGAAGTTAAAAACCGTGTTTTGATTTGATTGCGCATTGAAATTTCACATGTGTCTGCCCCTCCTTGTTAACTGTAGCGTTTCGTTCGATTTGAATGCCCTGGAAATGCAAATGTTTTACATTGTTAAAGCCGCAACCCGTTTAGTTTAGTTTAATTTATTTGCCTTCGATTTTTGCTCTTGTTTATCCCCTCTTTTATTGGCTTTCCAAATGGCATGAGAAAACTAAAATAAAAATCTATGGCAATAATATAGTTTGCCGGGCCAGATTTTATGGAATTTTCGCTGTTCGATGGTAAGCAAAACAAGAAAGAAAGTTAGCTTGGGGGAGCCGAAGCTTTTATACTCTAGCTGTCATGTCAAATGTCAAGCCAAATGCATAAAGGCTAAACAACATCGAAGTAATAATCATCCCATTTATTTTTCCATGTTTTTGTTTGTTGAATATATGATAGTATAGTGACCTTTTCAATAAATTTATTTATTTATTTAAAAAAAAATAATATACCTAATCATGCAATTTGGTAGAGAATTAATAAACAAACTTTAAAAAGTTATAGGCTTGGAATCAGTAATTGAAACTATTATTCCCTCTGCAAGGGTTGAAAAAGGGGTGTGATTTGGAAGTCTGTATGCATTGAAAAATGTATAGACAATTTTTTAAAATAAATATTGTTTATATAACAACATACGGTAACATTAAATAAATTAAAGCCTTTTCCATGTAATAAAAAAGGCTAATAGTAGTTAATAGAATGTAGTTTTCAACTTACTCTCACTTTGACGCCTGGGAAGTGAAAGACCTTCATGGGCGGCGTTTCCTTGGGAGTGTACCGATAGAACTCTCGTCGGCCCTTATACCATTTCACGGAGTACAGACTATCATCCTCGATATCGTAGAAACATTTCAGGATGGCCTTCTCACTACGCCTCACGGCATGTGGAACCCTCACCCGGACATCTTTTAGTGCCGCGGTCAGATCTGAAATGAAACAATAAGAAGGCAAATCTGAAAAACAATCCTCCAACAATTATATTCAATTATTTAAAACTGCCAGGCTTTCAGCGAAAAGGGACTGAACAAACAAGTCCCGTGGGCCGTGTCTAATAGAAATCAACTGCAGGCGATAAAAAATCATCGCGATTCGCATTTTTAATTCACTGTTTGTTTTTGTTTTATTATCAATTTAATTCTTTTTTCTCTGTTTCTTCGTTTTGGTTTACGGCGTTGTGCATAATTTATGGGGGACATTTTGTGTTTTATTATTTGGAATTTTTATTAAATAAATCCCCAAACGGATTTTATTGAGTCGACAATTCCCACGATATTTTAGATGGGGCTTTACCCTTTCGGTTGAATAGGTACACTGAATTATAGACTGGATTACCAATTTGCAAATTTTGGTGTTTCGTTTTGCAAATGCGTTGTTTTTTTTTAATCCGCCTAGAATATTATCATTTTAAACTCCTTTGTATTGCGTACTTCAACTAAATCAAATTATTACGTATTTCTGTTTAAAAGAGTAGCTCAATATCGGCTACTTTCTATTGGAGTTCAAGCATTTTTAATATCTAGTCTGATCACGTATTGACATGGCTTTCGGCATGGTTTTATGCCACAAATCTCTAACTGACTGAGCACTCACATACCAATATGTTCGCACAGACTCTCCATATATGTACATATGTATTTATATATTTTTGGTTATTTCTGGCATTCGTACGTATGGCTGATTTCCTGTTTTATTACCATCGAATTTTTTAGGTCCTTGCTTGGCATTATAAATCAGTTTATAAATGGCAAAGGGCAAAAATGACGATGCGTAAACACCCGTTTCCTTCCACCTGTTTGCATTTATTGTTTTTCCGCGATAAAATATAAATAAATTGCAGCCTGATTATGTGAGATGAACTTAAAAATGATTTTATCCGCTTGTCGTAAAATATGTAACGCTGCTGAAAGGCCATCAAACATTTGTCACGCGTTTATGAACTCACCAGAGGACGAATATTTGATTTTTTATGTGTAGGATAATCGTTTATTGGGGATTAAATATTAAAACAAGTGTCTAAGGGAATTGCACTTTAGAGAGAAATTTGTATAAACATGAAATCCTACACTTAAATTATTGTTGGAATGGGGAATGGGACCCTTGAAACCCTGAAAAACCTGTCATATCCTGAGGGCCCCTTCATGTCTCCTGTTTGCCAATTGCACTGCACCTATGTTGCCATTATAAAGCCATTTCCCCCGACTGCAACTCAATTCCCTTTCATTAGGTTAGTCCTTCAGGTTGCTTCACTGTCATTTAGCGGCTTCCGCCTTCTGTGGCTTCCATTTCATGCCACACTAAATAGACAAGGTTGCAACAATCCGGCAACAAATGAATGTCCAAACAAGTCGGCACGACTGTGGGAGGTGCTTTGTAAATCCCATCAAATAACTGTAATTGCAAAGTTTTTACAGCCAGACACGAGGAGCACGCCTACGAAGACCCCAAACCTCCGATTCCCCCAACTCGCAAGGACAATGCACATGCAACCCGACCATTTGTCGGGGAACAAAAGGGGGAGGGAGGAAAAAAGGGGTGGGATCCCAAAGGACTCCTACGGAGGAGGTGGAACTACGTCCCCACAACGTGTGCAATAAATATGAATAACGAGCACAACGTGAGTGGCACACAAAGTAAAAACAAGACCACACTCGACATCGCAGTGGCAGTGAAAAGGCAGATTCAGCAGGACATCCCTGCCCGTCCTACTCTACACCAAATCCTTGGGGAGCATCCAACCTCATTGTTGGCGACACGCGGCGGCAAATATTTGCCTCTGCCGCTGCCTTTTGTTTAAATCTTGTTTATGCAACATGCATGGCATATATTAAGAAGTGCCGACCGGACTCGAGTGTCAAGCAAATGTCCAGCAGCGCTCTGATTTACACCCGGCCACCATTTTGCCGCCAGATGGAAGTGCTTCGAGTGTCGGTTCGGTTAACAGATTGCTTTGCGGCTTGGCTACATTTGTGCAGTCCAAGGACTTTGGTTAGAAAAGGCGACATCGGATAATCGAATTAGTAAATAGAAATAGCGCTTTACGGTTAGAAATTCCTCTTGAAAAATGTTTAACCTTCTAAGTATTATATATAATACAGAACTTTAAATTGTACATTTAAAAGTTGCACTCCTTAAGTTTGACACACTTGAACTGCTCACTTGCCCCTTGTGGAAACTAAATTGAGTTTAGAACCTAGCACATCCTTTCATGACTCTTAGTTGCTTAGTTGCTGAAATTATGACACTTTCTGTCAAAGCATATTTCGGAAACTTACGGCCAGCTAATTGAAAAGAGTAAAACTAAGCAGAAGGAAGTTTGGCCGGCACTATGACCTCCCGAGCTGCCACATAATTTCCCTTCCACTTGAACTCTCTGGCCAAGAAAAGCATTTGCCTGACTGACCACACAGTGTACACGAAGGAACTGGCGAGCAACTATGAGTTTCTTGGCCAAGTGGAAACTTTGCAAAGTACAAGTTTATGGAGCTTGGCTTTCGAGTTACACTTACACTTATGCAACAGTTGGGCCACGAAGACGGCAAACTGGCATTTTAATTTTCTATTAGCAGGAAACTTGGGGTTGTGCGGCACTTAACCCCCGACCCACAGCCATACCCTTACCCTCTCCTCAAAGTTATCGGTGGGATATCTGGCGCCAAATTCATCATAATTTGCGCTGACGTTGAAAATGTAAAACCCTATTTGGCTGTAACCCAATATGGAACCCCAGCTTTGGCTTTAGATCCCAACAGACTAGACCACCACATCGGGCACTATTAGTGTCTCGACATTGTGCAGTCATTATTCAGTCAGATTTGACTGCCATCTGGGGTTATCAGCCTGCCGTTCCGAAACAGAGGGAGGTTTATATTCAGGCGGACCTGACGCCAACGCGTCGGGGATGCTCCTTCGTCCTTAGTCCTTTTGGGGGTGGCTTGAAAAATTGTTGACAATTTCAGCTTAATGCATTTTTATGTCACTTCTTCTGGTTTAGCGAAAATGAATGCTCCTGCTGTTGTTTGTCCTGCACAAACACAAACAGAGACCCACTCCGTCAGTCACTCATACACACACACACACACACACACATGAGCTGTAGTCCTTGCAGTCGCAGAACCACCAATTCTGACCAAGTCCTGCCTCGTCCTTTGCCAGATCGCTGGAGCCATTCAACGAGGACATCCAGGACTCCGTCTGTGTCTGTGTTCTTTGTGTTGATTATGAAATTTAAGCAGAAAAACCCGTGACAGTCTGGCCGCCCCTCTCTTTTGTTTACGCTTAAAGAGTTGGCCGCTTGGTGTTTGGCTTTTAATGGCACATTTTCCACTTTTCGTTTGGCTTTTCTGGGGGATGCTACATTGCGATTTAATGTCTTCCGCTCTGTGATTGCGAACAGATTCGCGGAACGGCAATTTCCTGGTAAAATTTATCACAGCATTTTGTTGAATAAAAATAAAACTCTCGTTATTGATTTAAGTCAAGCTATTTCTTGACAATCAGCTTCTAAATCTTTTAAATCGTACAATCAGATAAAGAAGACGCTAAAGCAAATCCAACAAGTTTCAGCCACTTCTTCTTCAGAGTGAAAAACCCAAAGCCAACTTAACATCCTTGGCCATTTATTTAAAAACTAAATAAGACAAGCATCGCTAAATCGCCAACTAAGCTCATAAAATCCCACGAACAAGTGCCCGAGTGTAAAGCAACGTGGGAAATGTTCAAGTATGAGAAAAAAGAATAGAAAGAAAATAGATAGTTGGGTGGCAAATAGAAGGTGGCGGGGTGAAAGGCTATGAAAAAGTGCAAGGATCAAACAGCTGAAAGTGAGGCACACTCGCATAGCTGGGCTAAATAATAAAGGAAAATGGAAAAAGAAAAACTCGAGCCTTCAGAATAAGCAGAAAAACGAAGGGAGCAGCGTGTCGTGTGGTGTCTGGTCACCTTTTATAGTAAAACCTACTCCTTAAAAAGCTCGACTCCCGTTTCTAATCTAACACTGGAAATTGTGCAGGAATTTGTTGCAATGAGCTTTTTATTATCCCTTTTCGATCTTCTGTATTTGTGTGTGTGTGTGTGTGTTTGTAATACTAGTTCCTCTTTTTTGGCGATTTTTGCTCGCTTTTGCATTCATTTTCCGATGTGAGAGGCGAAAATTGCAGTGCCAGCGTGTTTTTCCTCGCACGGAGCACAGGTGGAAATTTATACTGTAGCCGTGTTTTCCACGCCCCCAAACACACACACACATGCACACATACAAACACACTCAGTATGTTGCGCCCAGACGTTCAAATTATTTGAGGATTTGTTAAATTTCCCGGGCTTTCTCTGCATTTTTTGTCCACCAACCTATTTTATTTTTTACACAATTTGTCGTGGCAAGGCGAACAAAATGGGCCACACAAGTGTCTGTTAAATGGTCGTTTAGGCCGAGGGGAACTCCATTCGTGGACTGGGCGGGTTCAAGGTTTCTTTTTCTCTTTTGCCTTTTCTATCGCGAAAAGAGCTGCTGACTTGTTGACCTGTAAATAACTTGAGTTTAACGAAGAGATTAACGTTCCAGATTCGCTGGCGAATTTTATACATTTTTTGTGAGGTCCTATTTTAGGGGAATAAAAGGGAGCGTTTGGGTTTGTGACTGTAAAAAAATGGCAAGGGAGATTTACGAATTGCTGAAAGGAGTTGGTGAAGCCAAAGATTTTATATAACAAATTCAGATCGATGATTAAGCTTTAGTTTGTTTTTAAACAACTTGCCTATTTATTTTATTGAAGTTTAGTATATTCAATCATAATATGTATCATATCTTAGTTTCTACTCTTGATATATTCTTATATCCTATGCTACGCCATAGAACAAACAATTATTTTAATTTTACCCATTTATCAAAATAATCGTAAATCTTTTACCATAAAAACTATTCCACATATCC